ATGAATCAAGCTGGGAATCATTAGCGTCAGGAATTATTGAGTTTGGCTGGCTTGAGCTCTGTGAGCAGTACTCCCCCTGAAATTCTTGTTGGGTAATTTCTTCTGACGGTGCCCATGAAGGTGATTGATGTGTTGGCGTTGTCGATTCAGCAAAGATAGAATTATCTCCTGCCCAATAATCAATAGTTTGTTGATGGTCAGATCTTTCGCATTCATCACCATACATTACATCCTCATTGAATGTTGCATGAGGTGTGAAGCTAATTTTCCATTTCTGCCCATTAATCGGTGTCCAATGTGGGTGGTGAATAATGAAATTCTTATCTATATTAACTTGGAATCCAATGAACCAGCCTTTACATGCTCTCGGCTCAAATTTGCTTGGTTTGGGGTCAGTCAGCTTATATGCCCGGCATCCAAATCGTGGCAAGTTATTAAAGTCAACCTTGTCTGGGCATGGCTGTTTGAGGCTCTTAAGAAAGTCTATTAGTGGAACCTGCTTAGTCCGGAGACAAAAGAGTCTATTTGTAATAAAACATGCATGTTGGACTGCCCAGGGCCAATATTTAGCCGGCATTTTAGCATCAATGAGCATAGATCGTGCTACTCTTAAAATCACCTTATTTGCCGCTTCAGACAGTCCGTTTTGTTCTGGTGTCTCAGGTGCAGAGGTGTGCGTCTGTATGCCATGTTGTTCACAGTAAGCCCTGGTCCGCGTAAACTCTGTGCCGCCATCCCTAAATATTATACGTATACGCTTACCGTACTGGTGATGCATGGTATTTATCCACTGGATAAGCGTTGTTGCAATTTGATCCTTTGTTTGGATTGCTAGCGCCCATCTCATGCGGGTTTTGGCATCAGTTATGATAACAGCATATTGATGACCGAGAAGTGACGGAGCTATTGGGCCTACTGTGTCTAAGAATATTTCATCTAGGGGACTGTTTGGTATGAGTCTCGGTTGGCGGGAGACAAAGCGTTGTGCTTTGCTCAGATGGCATGTCTCACACACACTTAGATCTGAAGTATCTAGATTCTCTAGACCTATAGAACACTGTGAGGTTTTCTTGAGAATCTTTTGTCCAACATGCCCCAGCCGTTGATGCCATCGTTGAGTATTATTTGTCTTGGGCACTCTTGCAACTCCAGGCGCTGCTATTTGCTGGGTTACACTTTCCCCTCCACCTTCCAGAGGTAAGATGTATGATACATCGTTCTTTTGAATAATACGCGCTATGGGCATGTCAGGTTGACCTTTATTTTTACGCACCAGAAACCTCTTGACAGGGTCAATAGTTATGCCCCCAAGTCGCTCTAGTCTACCAGCAGAGATTATATTGCATGATGATTTCGGGGAGTGGAGAGTATTGTGTAAGTCTAGCCTGAATTTTCCCAGCTTAATGTGGGCTATTCCTTCCTTAGTGAGAGCCATCGCTCCTACAGCCTGGTCAAATCTGAATGGATGTATACGCTCGTGGAGGTTAATAAAGGCAGATTTCATGCTCACAAAGTGGTGCGATGCACCGGTATCATATATGAAAGGCATTTTATTTCCACTTATAGCTGCTGCAGATATGTTTACACTTTCTGAATATTCAGATTCACCATCTTCGATATTCTCCTGGATGGATGCCTTTGCTTTACCCTTGCCCTTTCCTTTACTCAGCCACTTTTCTGCTTTAGGTCCAACTGCCAATTCCGGATGTTGCTTGTAGCAATACTTGTTTTTATGCTTGTGCCAGCACAGCCTACATGTTGCTTCTGGATCTGGTTCATTAACATCTTGTTGTTGTGGAGTAGCCATCATGGCGATTTTAGGTGCTTGGCTTCGGACTCCGGCCTCGGTTCGCAGTGTGGACATCATATAATCCAGTGTTGCAAGGGTATTTTTTAGAGTTCGAGTCTTCGTGCCTCTCCAGATGTCAAGCCACTCCACCTCTTTTGTGCCAAAAACAAATAAAGCTGCTGCTTGTCCTTTATGGACTTTGTAGTCTTCTGCCATTGCTGATTCATCTGCAGCTGCCATAACTGAAGCTGCATTGTTAACACTTTGCAGCCGCTTAAGGAACACATCGCAGTATTCATCTGCAGTTGCAGTGAATCTAGTTTCTAACAATTTGGCAAGAGCAGTTTCATACGGTGCGGAGGCTGTTGTTATTCTAGTTTTGGCTAGCTCGTCGTACAACTGTTTCGCAGTGATCTGGTCGTAGTCTTCGGGGACCAACTCGGGGCTCAACCGAGTGACGATCGCATCTTTTGCACGAAACTCACCGTGCGACCATTTCGCAAGTGCCTTCTTGTGATTCATTGCTGCGTCTTCATCTTCATCTATTTCCTTCGGCTTAGATGGCTGGGTAATAGGGTCTATGCCTGGGACATCATGAAAGACATGTCCTACGACATCAAGTATACTGAGTCTTGCTTGTAAGCTGCTCTTCCACTGGTTGAATGGAACTCCTTTCCTTAAGGTCACCTTGTCTGAATCTGTATTTATCATGGTTGTTGAAGAGCCCGGGCTCATAACCTGTTGTAGTTATGAGCTTGCGGAAGATATCTTGATAGACAAATAAAGGTGACTGGCGATGTACAAGGAGAACGAATATGTGAGATGGGAGCAATGAGCTAATGTGTGCAGACTTAGTTTTCTATCTAATTGAATGTGTGGGTTCTCTACATTCTATGTACATGGGTCGGCTAATTTACTAAGCTAGCTCCTGACAAATCCCTTGGCACACCATAACAAGACTGTATCCATCCTTCGCATCATTTTGTGAACTTGTCCTGAATCCTCTCACGTCCATCCCAAATAACAGTCACCCAGATTTGTGCTCCACGCTTTGCTTCCTTCTTCGGGTGTAAATATCGGCGTGGGCGTGTATTTGGTGGTCAACTTAGGCCAGAGAAAGTCGACGAGAGGTGTGGTCATTGAAACGAGGATGTACTAGGTCGTACTTGTAGACTTGATGAGGCTTAGGTAGGAATCGATTTCGCTGGGAGTGAAAGATTGATATGGTGGAGTAATTTCAATCACTGCCTCGTGGGCCAACTTGTTCGGTATCGCGAAATTTGACTGAACTTGGCTCTGGGAGAACATTTCACTCCCAGGTTCGTAGAGGACACCACGTACAGGTGTTCAGTCTTGCCCTCCAATACATGCCCCATCAATCCTCAAATTTCGTCATACAAAGTTTGATTCCTATATATATATGTAGTCTCTCCTACCACCAGAGATATTAAGTTAATGACAATGAACTGAATATCTCTGAAGGCTATATCCGTCGCTCCCCTCGTCAACTCCACAGCTTTACATCTAAAGCTCCGTTCACCTGCTTCTGTGCTTGAATACCACTCTTCCTTCCTCTCCAACATCCCGAGATCCATCTCGATCTGTAAACTCATAACCACACATACTCCATGGGACCGTAAGCGATTAACTTATATTTGGTATAATCAAATTACACACCTTACTAGCTCATAATTTGTGGTCCATATTAAGTCCAAGGAAGCTCTTTCTTTCGAACAACTCCAGGTTAAGATGTGTTCCAATGCACGGAGACTCCTACAAAAATTCCTTCATCTCTTCACTGAAAAACTAGATATCATTCTATGTATGAATGATATGGTAGGATCCGTTCATTCTGATAGGACAAGGTATATGCTCTTATTATCAGTCAAACTAATTCAGCCCGACCCCCCTGGTGCCTAAACTCCTGAACAAGTGTTAGAGGAGCCAATTGCCTATCACTTTGATATAGAAGAGAAAATCTAATAATTGTTCGCCATCATCGCGAGGGTTTTCCACCTGAAATCATCAAACGCATGCCATTGCTCTCCGACACTCGAAATATTTATAATTTATAGCCACCATTAGATATACGATAGTGTCTCACAAGGTGTAAGGGTGCTCTAATTGGCAAGGGGGCAGTTGATATACAGGCTGTAACTCCAATTATCTCAGATGTGGGCACCAAAGACATGACCATAGATTAGATTAGATTTTTATCGTAGTCCCTTCTGGGTCCAGGACTATGGAGGACTTCGTGAATCTAATGTAGATTCTAATTACATTTAAGAAATTTTAATTCTGAAATATGCTAATATTTGTTCTTGTAGATATTGAGGGTCAAGCCCTTTCGAGACATGACCACATTTGATTAGCTAACGAGAAGGAAACTAAATTCTTTCGCAACTCAAGCAGATAATTCGACCATAATTGATGTGCGTACCAGACTTAAGCAGCAAGATTCTCGCAGAGTACAATACCTGCCGTGCATCGGATATAAGCTCTAAGGTAATGAATTTTGAATTCATCGTAAAGTTTATCAAGAACTCTGCTACGATGAGATCTATCAAAATTTATTATCGAACTTGGCTACTAGAGTTTAATCTTGAATGTCACTAAAATACAGATACTTAACAGTTTGGTTATAGCCATAATTAGAAGACCTCAGCTTCAAGGTTAACTTTAACTTAAGAGGAGCGTTATAATAAAATTAAGTAACTCATGGATCTAATCTGGTCATATCTGATCCTCGCAAAGTTGTTTTCACATCCATATTAAGTAGTGTTAAAAGTTAGAATAGTTGGGTCTTTCAAGCGGGCCACGTTGTTGACACATGCGTGACTACAAATTTTGTTGTTAGTTTCACTTTGGTGAATTCTTGAATGGATGCGCTCTACAACCTTAATGACTGAAGGCTCATAATTTCCTTAGAAAGTGGTTTGTTTATGTAAGTTATAATCACGGATCTGAAATATTCGGTAAATTCGAGTGAATCGTAACACATCTTCTTGCTCTTACAGGCATATAAGATCACTATATTAGACAATAAAACTCCAACCTATTGCTGCTATTTTGCGAGTGAAATCTGTGGTTCTACCAGGTGTAATCTATGGCGATTTCTATAATTTCTAAAATACAGATTTCATCATGTGTGCGATTAAAATTTGGTTAATGGATTTGATAATCGCGCGAAGAGCCTTTTATTCATATCTGTCTACTTCCGTACTGAAGTAGATAATTTTGGTTTACTGTGAAGGAGCGGACTTGTCTCGTCTGATCCTAGTGGATCTTGCCCCACTGGACCACCCTCGTCGTCGCTCTCAGGTGTGCCTCGTTGTAATATGCCCCTGTCGTGCCTGATAGTATTTCGTCGGGTCAATTCGAAATAGATCCCCATGACAAGCAGACTACCTTGTAAAAAGCCAGTCACTAGAAAAATGCCCCATGTGCTCCATCCATTAATCCCTAGTCTTGACGCTAAACTTGCAGCCCAAACAAGCGATCCTGGTGTCTGGATCAGCATCATTGGTATCGAGAGACTTCCGACATGTCCCAATTTCCACGTCATCGTAATTTGTGGCAGATATTGTGTCAGTGTTAGTGCTGTTGCAGCAATACCAAGTAAGTTGGCCCAACCGTTGAGGTAGCTTGGTCGAATAACTGCAAAAATTATACTAATCATAGCTACAATTAATCCATGAGAAATACAAGTGAGTGTAACAGTAAGAGCTGTACGCCATGTATATATCATGGACTCACTGAGGTTGGAGTATATTGTGGCGCGTGGAAAGAAGATGAGAAATAAAATTAAACTATTATATTAGAAGCAATAGAGCTATAGGGGCAATATTTTATTTGACCTTACTTGAGACTGAAACAAGCCCATTGCGCCGCAACTTGAGCTATTCCGAGGAGGCCGGAGGTGCATTCGAAAGTGCTGATGACTTTACAGCATGCGATTTCGGTTCGGGAGGCTGGAAGAGTGAGAACATTTGCTAATGCACAAGTTCCTGATGTCACTCCCAATACAATGAAATATGGCGAGATTCCTTCTGAGGTACGGCGTGCTATGATGCGATAGTGTTGGGGGAAATATGAAATTAATATTCCGAGCAGAATTAAGCTACGAAAACGAGTCAGATCCAATGAGATTATTTGAGTGAAGATATTACATTGACACGATAAAGTTGAGATAATTTGAATCTTGGAGAGTTTCGCACTTCTTCAAAAAAAGATTGTCATCTTCTTGTATTAGAGATATACCCATTTTTCTTCAGTTAAAACCAACTGAAATTAACCTGGTAGACCAAATACTTCTTGCTGCTCTGCAAATAGCAGAGTCTAGGAGAACAAGATCAGCTTTAACAAAATGAGGGGTAGCCGCTTGACGTCTGGATAACTCTCACGCAACTGTGAGTTACAAGGTATATTAGTGAACACCCGAACCAGAAATTTGAATATTTCGAGGAAAATTGAAGAGACGATTTCTTTTCGAATAACAACCGCTCTTAGCTAGACTTGGCTTGTTCATGACCAATGGACACGTAAGCTTGCTCGCTCGGGTTACTATTGCATATTCAATCGTAGACACGTCACTCCAATGTTTCGTAGGATGCGATTTATTCGAGTGATTGTCTTCTTGTGAGGTGCCTGGATAGTTTAGGGTGATAAGGGCCAAATGCTAATGCGGGTCTGCGTTGTTTATATCGTGTTGTCATCATATCCGAAAAAGATGGAGGGGTGTTGAACGGGTTAGAGCGCTTACAAGTCGCCATTCATGGCAGGGATTCGCGTCATTGGTACGCGCTATCATCTCCTGCGAACCTGTATATCCTTGCCACACAACTTTACAATCTATCAACTGTATCATGAAATAGTTATTTGTTGATAAGAAATGACGTTAAGTAAACCAAATCTTGACCTAGTTGCATCCACTCGAGATTTATACTGTTGCTCAATCTTAGTGTCTCAAAAACGAGATGCTACAAAATTTCAAGATGGTCTAAGTCTTAATTGCGAAATAAAAGATGTAGCTGAGAATGATGAGTCCAATTTTTTTAAAGGAGCGAAGTGGTATTCTTTTCCATTTCCAGATAAGTCCATTTTTGAGGAATCAAAGCTGAGCCCCTAGGTCTCCAGATGGAACAACAATTCTTACATCTAGCGCTGATAACACCATTCGAACATTCATAATTCCACCAAGCCTTCTTTCTGCCAATGAGCCAATATCTCTCACACCCTACACCCAGCACAAACATCCGACGCCTGTCAACGGCTTCTATCCATACCCAAACTTCTGCCTCGCCTCGCCCGCCTCAACGCTATATTTATCCACTCCTACTAACCTTCCTATTCGTCTTCTCAATGCACTCTCGCCGTCTACCTCTCCGTTAAGCTCATATTTTCTTACCTCATTGACAACAGAATCCTATTTGACGCCCGCATCAATCACTTACTCATCAGAAACAACTTTCCTGACCGGAACCGAATGTCTCATTTCGCTCTTTGATCTATCACGAAATGGTGCCGGGCCTCTAACACGCCTGCCTACTATACCAAGTAAGAGACACCGGTGTAAAGGAGGCGGAGTGGGAATGCGAGGTATAGTATCGACTCTCGCAATGTCATCCACAGAAGGTTATATGCTAGCCGCAGGAACATGGACTCGATGGGTCGGCTTATACGACGCGGGTGGGCTTGGAGGGACAATTGCAACTTGGAGTGTAGCTGATGCTGCTGATAACGTTGCAGGAATCCTTGGAAGTGGTGTGAGTGAGGTTATTTGGAGCGCTTGTGGTCGGTATCTGTGTGTTGTAGAGCGTATGAGCCGTGGTATTTTGGTTTATGATGTGAGAGTGACGGGTAAACTATTAGCCTGGTTAGAAGGAAGAGAAGCACGCACAAATCAGCGCCTAAGTGCAGAAGTTTTTCAGTCTGACTCGGGAACTGAGGTGTGGGCAGGGGGAACTGATGGTGTTGTTAGAGTTTGGGATGGGGTTGGAAAAACCGCAGGATCAGTCCTTAGAACTTGGGAGTTCGAAGCGCATGACAGTAGGTTTCATCTGTGAACGGATCCATTGTTGGATATGTAGCTGCATAATTGCTGATTTTCCGCAGGTCCTGTGACGGCTACTATTGTTCACTCTTCAGGTAGCGTTGTTGCTACCTGCTCTGGCGAGAGATCGCCACTGAAAATAGACGAATTAAGCGAGGAAGGATATAATATGTCAAGCTTCACCTTAAGAGATGAAAGCTCTTTTAACCCAACTGCACAAGTGGTTCAGGATAATACTCTTAAAATTTGGCGAATTTAAACCGATTGGGATCCCTCTAATCTATAGCGATCAATAACCACTTCATAAGCATGATTGTGAATTCCCCCTTCAATTTCCTGGCGTTTAGAAAAGCTCAATTAAATATCCCAACTACTATCTATAAATGTATTAACTCTAGTCATTACTTGCCTCCCAACTAAATTTCCATACTTCTCCATCCTCTTTTCGGCACTCAGCCCTACAAATTCAGACAAGCCGTATGAGGAACTGTTTTTTTGATCATCACCGATATTAATCCTCGAGGCCTTCATTGAAATTATGACAGTTTGTGCGGCAAAAGAATTTAACCCCGCTCTACGAAGAAACAACTCCCAATGCGTCTCGTGCTGTAAAAGTTGTAGACCATTCACGTAATGCCGAGAGATACAGCTGACTACCCACCGAGCCAACGTCTTCTCACCTCCACCTACAAAATAAACGATCATAGATGTCTCGAGGCTGGCCGTAAGTCCGATAAATTCATTGAATGCAAGGCAATCCCTTGCGGCAAGGCCGCCTGAGCTCTCATCAGCTCGGCCCTCGCTTACTAATATAATGAGCATCTCATATCGGGTACAGACTGATATCATATGCTCGTGGAAAAAGGCTCTGCCCTTTTGACCTGGAAGGGGTTTCTGCTTAATTTTTTGAAGAGTTGTCAATATTATGCCAGTCGTTGGTGATACGATAAAGTCTGCTTCATTGGCTAGCGGCGACGTTACAGAGGAACGAGCAACAGATCCGCGGACCCAAGTGATAGTTTTATGAACCGAAAAGTCCCTCTCTATCAGATTTACTTGTGGATACAGATTCTCTATTGTCTGTATCAGTAGACGACGTGCAAATAAATTAGATGCTACTATAATACTTGCTGCCTGATTGGAACAAAAAGGCGGCACCGGTTGTGCAGCTTGAAGAGAGACCGAGGTCGTCTCTGTGGTCGAACCATGATCTTTATGTTCTTGCAGAGTTTTATGGTGCTCTATGGGTGATTGTGGAGGTTGTTGATCAAAATATGGACTGTTGTACAACTTGGGCTTCTTGTTCCTCCGAATTTGGAGGTAGTTCTCAACGGCATCGCCTGCAGAAAACTTAATAGGCAATAGATTGCATGTTTCCTTGGGATAATTTTTTTTTTGGCCAAGCCTACTGCTTTGTTGAAGGTTGAGTTGAGATTTATCGAAGAAACCTAAGGTCTTAACTTGATTCTCCTCTATCGGAAATGTATTTTCTTGTGTCTCTACCTTTCTTTTTCCTACCAAGGTAGATATTTCTCGAGGAACCTCTACTAACTGAAAAATGCCGTAATTCAGCTCAAGCTCCTCATCCTCGTTCTTTTCATCCTCTTCATCATTTCGACAAATCTTCAGGCTCTCAGGCTTCCAAACTGCATCCGAACTGTCTATGATATTGACTCTGATTTCGCTTGGAAGATAATCCTTGAAGATACTTTCATCATGAAAGTATACGTCATCTTCTAACACACGTATAGCTATATCACGGGGAAATAGAGCCCACTTTAGAACGTGATCAAAATTCGTTGGAGCTGGCCAATCTGCCAAGGATTGCTCAAAAATTTCTCTCAGAATAGTGCAACTCTGTTGTAGTGAAGCTAAGGCTGTATTAGAATCATGATAAATGTCCCAGGGTGGCTCTTCTTTACTGAAGTCCACAATCGGAACAGCTACTCGACAAGTAGTATCAGCTTCAACCAAAGTCTCTTGCTCCATTTTTAGAGACGTAGACTCATAGGCTGGGAGAATAAACTCGTTAAAAAATTTTTCTTCAAAACTTGATACATTGGGTTCGTCATCCAAACTAAATTTTAAATTATCGATAACATCGCTTAGGCTGATACGAGATACATTTTCATGGATAAGACCCTCTGGGGTCAACATTCCTTCAACCTTAAGGTTATCGCATTTTAATGTAGGGCTGCTATTATAATTTAAGCATTTCATATCATCGAGAGTAACTAGTGACGGGTACAGATCATTCATGCTAGTATCATGTAGCTCCCCAGTTGTTTCTGGTTCGGAAAGTAGCATAGATTCTCGGACTTCAATTGGAACATCTTGTTTGAAAATGCTGCACTCAATTTCTTGAAGTTGTTTCCGAGTTGGCGAGATCGGATCAGTTAAAACTGGGATTTGGAAAATTGAATCGAATGATGATGGTTGGTATGGCTGTATAGATGATTCCCTGGGCGATAGAGGTGGTGTCACTGGATCTGTATCCGTATTCTAACTTTTGCTTAGTACTTTAAATCAGGTTAGAGGTCACGATACGAACCCTCTTGTATGTTTGTTGGCTAGTCCATAAATTTTCTGAATCCTGCTCGGTCCAATCAAATCTCCATAAATTTTGTAAAAATGCTAAAGTTTTTTTCGACACAAGAAGTCTTTCTCGTTTTATATCTTCCATTAATTCATGACTTGTACATACTGGATTTTCTAGTGAGATAGAATTATGCGGACTATTCATATCATCTATTCCTAGCGATGCTTTTATTGATAAAATTTGAGCCATGGGTTTCTCTCTTGATGCAAAATTTATAAGATCTAATTGGTTATTACTGTAAAGTAATGGTGGCTCAAGTTTTAATTTACTGACGCGATTCCTATCCTCAAGTAGGGAAAAAATTCTTTCACTTATCTGATTAGCATAGTCTACCTTTGCGACAGATTTAATCAATATAGCAGCTTCTTTGGAAATTGTGAGCCGTTCTTCAGTTCTTAATTTTACTCTACTGAAAATTGGTAGATCATAATTTTCCAAATCGTTGGTTAATTCTGCGGCCTGGGTATCTCGCAGGGCTTCAAGTTCCAATATTCCACAACAATCCGCCATGTAGTCCCTTGAAAGTTTGTTGGCTCGAGCATATTCTAAGGGTGATAAATCTTCCTCCTCATAATAAGCAGATGTATTTGGAGACATTGTAAGTATGGTTTAAACGGAAATATGTTATATTTCTTAACAACTCTATTGAAATTAAAATACTAATGCTGTTGTGCGGCGCCTAAATGATAACCGCAGCTAGAGGATTAATCTAACTTTTGGTTGAATAAAGGTAAAGAGCTTGTTGGTAGATAAGACAAAGCTCAACTATAGAGCTTCTTTTACATCATGTGACTTTCCAAAGATTAGTTGGATGAATGGATACGTAACCCAAGCTGGAGCCCTCATGATTGCGTGTACCAATAGAATATAGGCAGAATTTATAAATTAAGATGATTGTGTAGGAAAAAGCCACAGCTTAGAAACATTCTGTAAGCCAAAATTCAAAGCTGAGTATTCCCAAAAATGTAGTTTCTGGGATTTTGCAGAAGAAATTCTAATATCGCAGTTGAAATTTTCTGGGGAAAGCTCCTAGGCCAGAATCCCAGTCGCTAACCAGGATTCTTTGCAAATTAAGGTAACGGTTTCTAAGCAACGCATACGTCATTAAAATTGGAAAGGGAAACGGAATACTTGTATGAAAAATGAATTTCTGGATGAACAAATTATGTATGTTGTTGTTGAATTTTTTAAAGTCCTGAGCTAAACCAAAAGCTCTACGTCCTCCTATCGGTACAGAACCAGTGGAGCCGGCAAGAATCACTGTATACGGGTCCAACTCATTCCAACCGCATGACCTTTCACATAAATGATGAAGTTAACAGCAAAACTAAAATCAAATCTAGAAGAAATCACAATTTGTTCCGGATCCTGAGCTTCTCGCCCATTCCCTTTCCTGTCACATCTTCCAAGTGGCTATTTTTGACCTTTGCTGAGAGCAAAAGATGGGCTCGCAGGCACCCTTCATTCAGCCAGTGTCCTGCTCTTTATTTGTTGAAGCCTCGACAACTTCACTGAGGCTCGCTGTAACCTTAAACATCTTTTTTAGATTGCAGAATTCCGAGACCCGATCTATCTGCCATACAGACGTTGTTATTCGAGCCGTAAATCGCCTGAATGGCTATTTCGGCTGCAGCATTGACACGAGAATAATCTGCCAGTCTTTCTAGCTCGACCTTGCAAATTATCGCGAGCTGCCCATTTTTCACCGGGCCAAACTTGCTAGGTCTAGCTTCGCAAAACCTCGAATCCGATTAATGAGTTCCACCACAGTTTCGACACCGTGTGGGGGCCTTGCACTCCGTTTCCGAGTGCATTTTGATCCGCAGTTCCAGCAAGCCGGAGCGAGGGAGCAGCCGCGTGAGGCATGGAAGCCAAGACATCGATTGCACTGAACTATATTTCAACGAGGTTAGAAGGGCCATGCAGCTTCGGAGTCATTGAAGAAGTGAAATCCAGGTCGGGGCGTGTATTCGCGAGGGAAGAGTGCTTGCCAGTTCTGGTATGGCGCCCCGGGTTTGCTGGTCCTATGAGGACGAACAAGAAAAGGAACAGATTTGATCACTCGCGTGATTTCGTCGGCGACCATCTTTTCCGTTATAGAAACGGAACCTATTAGTGTGTTAATTCTCACCGGGACGGTGGCAATTTTAAGGGCAACTAGATTTTACGCTGGCTCCAGATTAATTCCAGATTCCCTTCGTGCTGCGGAGGAATCCAGGAGCTCTTTCCGAGCGAGTTCATCCCTTGCTGTCAGTGCAAAGCCTGTTTTGACCCGCTGAACCAACGTGATATTGTTAGCTGCGATACCGAGCACCTCTGAGACAACTGATCTTATGCCAGCTGATGACAGGAGTCAGTGAGGATGTTCGTGGGCGAGGCGTAGAAACAGTCGTGTGTCAGCTGCTGTCCTCTTATTGGCACCCTTTGCTTTTGGGGGGGCGCTGACTTTGTCATTAACGGCCCAGTGCTGTGGATAAGGCCTGCCTGGATTACCGTCGCCCAAGTTGTCTTTTGGGCCGGAGCCTGGGTAGTTATAGGGTCCGGTACCCTTATTCCTTGAGCCCTCGGCGGAGGAGGGTTGCTTGGCCGCGCAAGGAGAGCTGGTGGAGCGCTCCCTGGGCCTGATTGTATGAACTGGCCAATGGCCGCTCGAAGGTAGACTTTGATACCGTCTACAAATTCTTTTTCTTCGCCAATCAAAAGAGGCAAAGTACTTCTTCAACACTGCTTATTACAGTGGAAAAAATTGCTAAACGGGCCTTTATTTGCGTCGTGCGACGCTTTTCGGCCTCCATCGATGATTGCAGCTCCGGAGGATATTCCGCTGCTGATGTCGAAGCTGAGCCTTTGGAAGCTGGCACAGCGAATTTTCTAGCAGAATTTTCTGCGTGTTCTATCATCTTCTCTCGGACGACTTCCTTTCCTTTCCATGAAGTGCTTGTCTCCTGGGCAAGCTCGATGGAGATTTTGGTCTGGAGACCAATTTTTACTGACTTGATGAGTTCAGAATCAGTTATCTCTTTTTCGGGAAGATTTGGAAACTTCCCGTCGACGAAGACCTCACTCGCAAAAATACTTGAAAGTTTCTTCGAGAGCCCTCGGGCGGACTCTCGACTTGTCCAACATTGGGTTGGGGAGCTTTTTTCGAATACGTGGCATGATTAAAATGCCGGCGACTCGATCACAATTATTTGGGAGATTGCAAAGAGCATGAGATGGAGAGAGGGGAAAAAGAAATTTAAAAAAAATTCGAACTTCAAAAATTGTGTTTGGGTGTGTGTGTTAACATGCTAGATCTTCTATGACTCAGGTAGTGTTGTAACTACATCTCTCTTTCACTCCCTCACTTGAATTGAGAGATCAACGGTTTTAATCCTGCCACATTTCTCCTAATTGGCTTGATGCGGTACTGGTTCCATGACTGCACCTTGACAAATATCTTCGTATACTGTAGAAGAAACTTTCAACAACACATACTAATTTATAAGTTCATACTCTTGTATATATTCGATTGAAATATTTTAAATTTCATGAGAAAATGAGTCTCTTAGCGAAAAAAATCATCTTTCCGAAAAAACGAATATAGACGCAGACACTCTTTGAAGTAATGGTACCTTTCAAATACCATAATAAGATACTCTGATTTCTGCATAGGCCTACGATGCTTTTTGGTAATTTTAGGACTGTTTATCTTTACTAAAGTCATAACCTATAAAAAAATCGCACCTCAATTCAAATTTTTTCAGAGATAAAAAAGGCAACTGCCCTGATTTTTGATTAAATACCACATTCCTTTTTCTGAGTCTTAAGATGGTATTAGGAAGAAGTTATGACAGATTTGAGTCAATCGAATAAATAGTGATATTAGTATGGGAACAGATAATTCACTAGAATAATATCGGTTTATTACATTAACGCTACTGCAATCCTTAAATCTGTGTAAATTTTTTTTATTTCCCCGAGATTGACTGAAATGACATGACCAGATCTACAGCTATGATAGGCGTGCTTTTATTTGAAGGTATTCGAGGTTATTATGACCTTAATATTCTGTTAAGTTAGGAATTCTATTTTCTTCTGGGATTTTATCTCTTTCAGTGCCCGAGCTGCTAATATGACGTTATCCAATTATAAATTATAGTGGTCTTCAATAGCTAAAGTTTGGGAAGGACAGAAATATCTGCGGACCCATTTGGTTTATCAACTAATTGTGAATTGTTGAGAGTGCCGACTCCTTGAAGAATATTGACTTAGCCAGAAATTTTAGAGGAAGTGCCGTAATTTTGTACAGGCGAGCACTATGCGAGAACCCAGAGCTGTTATTTCATGCCATGTCTGTTTCTTAGAAATTATTTAAAAATCCTTGTAATTCTTGAGCATTGTTCGTGTCAGACCTCCTTTTACTTATAAATTTTTTTATAGATTGAATATCTTTTTCAATATATACTATCCCTACCTCCATAACGCGAACTAGTATTCTTCGGGCCTAGTTGGTTGAGCTGTAAGGCTGTAACACATTTTCTGGTCTCACCAACTTTGCCTGCAACTTTCAAGAGCCCGGTCTCAAAATCTCGAAGAACACCAGCAAGTTGATCGAAGGAAGATTCTTCAAACGTTGTGTTTCCATTTTTCTTTGCTACTAACGAATTAATTTGATGTGCGCTGTTCGCTTCGATTCCGCGTAAATGCTGCTCAATCTCCGTTATGTGTTTCTGGTAAGTAGAAAGCTTAACACTAAGCTCGTCGGCACACTGAGAGAAGAAACCGACAATATCTTCAGTTTTACCGCTACCAAGACTTTCGTCGGATTTAGGCGACCAGACTCCTGAAGTGTGGTATTGTGGTGGAAGTCTGAGAATTTCTATTGCCTTAAAACTAAGTTTGGCTGCTTCAGCATCGCTCTTGATTAATTTTTGTACTGCAGAGATAGCTTGAATATCTGAGTCTGCGGCGCTATCTACACCGATAAGTTTTCTTTGACAAAACTCCACATCAATTGGAATTTGAGCAAGTTGTGAGTCATGTGCCGGCATAATGGCGTCGCATTCCTGCTTGAGCTGGATTTGAGCTTGAATCATATTATCTACTTCGATTATTTGCTTCTGAAGCTCTTCTTTGAGGTCATTATACCTCGTGGTACCTCGTATATTTGACGTATCAATTAATACGCCAGGTACGATATTTTGTTGCTGGTTTACGGTTTGATTTGAGAACAAGCCACCGTTAGAGTTATTACCCATTAAACTTGTACCCAATGCTGGTTGCTGTGATGGTGGCAATTTGTTCTGAGCTGCCGTGTTGCCGCTGTAGCTAGTTAGCGTTGAACCTTGAAATATCCAAAACTATATACAACAGAGATTTTCCATTTTGAGGTTGACTTGTATTATTTTGTCCAAACAAGTTTCCTCCGCCTAGTGATGACTGCGGGACCGAGAATAGTCCGTTACTTTGCTGTGGCTGAGATGTTGTTTTTAAACTGAAAAGATTTCCCGCCGTTGTGGGTTGTGTGGGTGCAGGGGTTCCAAATAATCCTGTATTACTTGCAGGTTGTTGGGTAGAAGAGTTGAGTCCTCCAGTCTGTGGCTGGGAAGTAGTTGCTAATGAAGATCCAAATAAGTTTCCAGATGTGGCTGGCTGTGATTGACCAAAGAGAGTTCCCGTCTGTGGTTGTGTCGCCGAATTCGTTGCAGATTGACCTCCAATTGTTGTTTGAGTCGTATTTGATCCAAAAAGTCCGCCCGCTTGTGGTTGGGCAGTTCCAGACGCGCCGAAAAGCCCGCTCGTTGCTGGCTTGCTAGCAGCAGCGTTTCCAAACATTTTTACTTATTGTGATAAAATTTAAGAATTTCCTGTCAATCTTAGATGGAGATTTGATTGTGATTAACAGAGGTATCGTTTCTCTAGCGTGGCAACCACGCATCAGCACCAAGCGATATCTAGACGCGCTAAGTACACAGAAGTGCATCAGTTTAATGAACCTAGACAAGCGATCCAACTACGGTAATACCTGCTGTACTTACACACGTAACTCTTATTTACATTAAAGCTGTACTTGATCCCGCCAGAATGGAAGTTGATGAAGATGACGATTTCTATGCGCCTGAGGAAAGCATTCCCGAAATTAGCGTGGAGTCCAACAAATCTGAGCCAGTTCCTACTCCTATCCTTGAGGACGGAGGCCTGGAGGAAGGAGAAGAGGAAGAAGACGATGATTCAGGAGATTCAGTTAGTTCTCCGCCACTTCCTCCAATCATGGCTTACGAATTTAGGATATTGATATCATCACCGAGCGGAAAGATGGTTCTAAAACTATTCCAACGCACGCACTGCATGGTAATCGCACGAAGAAGAGGCTGATTAAAGATTAGGCCGTCTAAATACAATGAGATACGCAGTATTCCTCAGAGAGTCGCATCAGGGGAAATATCAAAGCCAGGCAACAAAAAGGCGCATTCTAAAGCCACTATAAATCCTCCTGAAGTAGACTTACCTGGAGTTTCCATCTCTAAGATTGATGTAAATGTAAAACCCGTGTACGAACCTGCTGGAAAGCCAATCACTCAGGTGAACATAGACGAAGGTTTGTGATTTTTCCTGTCAAAATAAAGGTTACTAACACTACAGAGATCTACCTGATAACGAAAAGCCATGGCGACGTCCAGGAACAGATATAACCGATTATTTTAACTATGGATTCGATGAGTTTTCTTGGGCTTTGTACGCTAGCAAGCAAGAGGCAGTTCGATCAGAATATAATGCAGACAAGATTGCATTGAACGGTAAGAAACTTTTCGAGGATATGAATATGATGATGGCAATGGGGGCTATTCCATCCATGGTTCCTGGTGCAACTGGTAGTGCCCAATTACCTGGAATGGAGGGTATGGATATGCAAGCCATGATGCAGCAAATGGTGGCTGCCGGTGTTGACCCAACACACATGGACTCTGTGGCTATGTTCGCCACAATGCAAGGTAGTCAAGGTGGGGCCGCTGGTGCTACAGGAAGCCAAGGGGGCTTTGCCCAAGGCCAAAACCAGTTTGGATTTGATCAAACCATGGCAAATTCAGCCGATGGTAGAGCTCGGGCGAACAACTCCGGGAGAGGAGGGCGTGGTAGACGGGGTTGGTGATGTTTCGAATTAGCTGCCGTAATACAAGATATTCTTTGAGTCAGTGCTCAAAAGCGAAAACCTCCCGATGTCGGCCTAAATACAGAGGTTATTTAATTTTTAAGGGCAACAGGGCGAAAGGAAAGGCTATTGCCGCTTCCTAGGGGGACAAGGTAACCGATCCAGAAATTAAAGGCCACAACATAGTATTTTATGCTACGCGAGAGTCATGCGCCCTAATTTTCGTGTATTAAGCACTAGACTTACTCATATATCCTTTGGTATGAACTCCGCGTCTTTTGTCTCAGTAGGGACTTAATAGGGTTACTCGCTTGACGCGTGATTCGCTAGACGTTAAATAAAGATAAATAAATTGGTACGAACTCCAGCCTTTGTTATTCACAACCCCTGCCGTGTTTCAAGTCCAACTGGTTTCACCACGAGCTGGCTTGAATTTTGTTTGTAAGCCTAACGCTCCAGTATTATTAAAATTACAGGCTTACTGTCGATCATAGTAACTAGGACTCATCTCAACCCTTTCACAGGTCGCAGGTCCAAAGGATCTCGAAAGCTCTTAACACGCGGGCTCCTTTGTTTCTTTTCAACACTCATGCCGGAAAAATACTAGATTTCGTACTGTCATACCATGATGAGTCAATGGGAACCAATCAAATTTTAAAATCTGTTGACAGCTTTTTTCCCAGAGTCTCATTCTATCACTTACATTAGTACAAGCGACGAGTCAATGGCGAAATTCTTGTCCAAGCGGATAAATTTTTGGCCTAACAAAGATTTATCGAATCTATCAGAAAAAACAAGGATGCTGTTAAAGGTCCTCTATGAACTTCAGAATTTCCTAAATGAGACACAATTGTTTTCGTGTTTTGTTTACAGCTGCGTCGCCTTTCAGAGCTCGAGCGGTAAAAAGGATGTCGACAAAGTTTTGCACCATCAGATCCCCTTCTACATAACAAGGGGATAAGAACTTCGCCGGCTAATCTATGCCTAGGAATGAGCCAAGTTGGACATAATTTTGTTCACTATTGTACTAAGTTTTCACTGCTAGGTTACATATTTCGTCATAATATTTTAACTCTCAAAATTAAAATTTGTGAAATTGTGCTCTTATGCATTTGAAAGTAAAGGTGTATTTTTTTAATTTTCAAGCAAAAAACTCAAGAGTCCAAAAGAGTATAATTTATAAATATTTACTTTAGGTTCTACAGAGATCGAGAAGAAATATCGAATAACATTATTTAAAACCTTAAGCGTATACAAGAATAATGTTATTGGTTGTGTTCTAATGATTGCTTCATGAAAAAAATACTTGTTTTAGAATACTTGAAGAAAAGTGTCTATAAGAATGATAGATAATACAAACCCCAGCCAAAGGGTGTTATAAATAAACTAACGTAACACTGCATTTTTAGGGGGAAATTAAGTCTTCTAAACTGAATAAAATTCGATTGAAGATTAGGAAAAGAAGAGAAATCTAAGGAATTATCCTGATAGTTCAGGATTCAATGCTGAGATAATTATATCGTGGAGTAGGTATTTTTAAATTCCAATGCTCTAAATTTATGCTCGCTCAGAATCACAACCTGCTTGATTGAAAGTAAGCAGAGTATTACTTGATCATTATCTATCACTAAAGTTACCATGGAATAACAAAGATCCTTTAGTATACACAAATAACTAGTGATAGAAAAAAACCACTTAATCTCTTAAAAAGTAGGCTATCTATCTCTAAGATTTACAGTAAGCAGTTTTGCCTCAGTAAGGAGTGGACTGGAAGCTAGATATTTACATCAGTTTTTCCGGTTAATTATATCCCTCTATAAATGAAATTTATCAGGATTATTTAGGAATAGAGATGTATGAAGCATATTTAAGATTTTACATTCCAAGTCAACATATAGATGAGGTTAGATACATCACGAAGAGAGAACGTTATTTTTACAAGTGCTCTCCATTTCAATGAAGTTGATAAATAACAAGTCTATCAATGTCTAGACGAATGGTCACCAAAGTCAGAGAAACGAACTCATTGAATAACATTTAGTCGACTCTAATTTTAGCACTAACGTTAGCACGTGTACTCAAAGATTCAAAGAATTCTTCAATTAATTTCCAACACATACCTCGATTACAATAAGATTTGAGATGAAAAACAACAGATAGCTGCGATACATAAATCCATAACATGACTTTTAAAAATTAATGCTATCTCAAATGGTTCTGGATTTAGAATAAAGCCAAAATGACGAAAAAGATTGATCTACTATATCCAACGCTAATTTCTTTGTTCAATTTTTTACCCAATTAAACTCTCTAATAGTTTATCTCCATGAACTGGCGTCTTTCTAGCGATTACAAACGAATACTATATCTCGATACTCAATCATTTTAAAACAAGCGTGAATTCCTAATATCATGCTATAGTCCGTAATGTTTTAATTTACTTCAACAACCTCATCTTATTTATGGACTTCACTCACATCCTGATCTCTATGAGACTCTATCCTGTGCGACTTAACTTAACAGTTACAAGAACCCTTCAAATCTAGGATTATTTATGATAACAAAACGTTAAATCCAACTACAATCAGCTATTTAATCTAGATTTAGGCAGGTTACCATATTTCATATTGCTGGCTCACAGAAAGAGTTGAAAATTTTTGAATTCAAGTTTATATTCATTTAGTCCTTAATTTTTTTTAATTTTTATACTTCCTTGCGTAACTGCTTCTTGTGGGATTCTAATCTAGCGTCTTTGGCTTTAAGTCTGTTCTTGAGCCTAACGAAGTCTAAGCATCCAGTGAAGATACATTATTGCTCAATTTGTCATCTGGTTTTTTCTGGTAGTTCCGGTACCTTGGTACCTAAAAATCGCTGAAAATAGTAGTCACAGGTAATTTTGCTTTATGATTTATTCATTAAAAATATCCTCACCACCAATTCGCGTTAAAAGCAACATCTTTTATGAAAAGGTGATTTTTGGTACTGAAAACAAAAATTCGATGTTTTTATGCCAAAGATTCAAGTCTTTGTAGGTATATAATGCGAACAAAAATTTCATGAAGCTAAACAGGCTTTTTTCCTACCAGTATTTCACTCTCTAATGTTTCATTTTCGGAAATTTTATCAACTACAATAACGCATATCACTCTGAAGTTTTATTTACATGTCTAAAAATGTTTCATTATTAAGCTGTGTACTCTTAAGTGCCCACTCAAATTGACGGACTCACTTTTTGTCCCTAGAAATCGGTACTTTCAAGTCTCACGTGGTTTACCTACGAAACTTCATTTCCTGGTGCTTCATATTTTTTGTCCCATATTACCCCTCAGGGCCTACTAATACATTACAGGCATTTTCACTAGTATTTGCAGAAAATTTGACAGTTGGTACGAAATATAGTACTATCCATATCTTATTGACGTCTTAAGCAGCCCAAAATGAATTACAATTTTCGCTCCGAATCGTTGGATACTAACCATGCCCATCATCTCCATCAAGATGGAACTGACGATGAAAATAGTATAAGAGACTGTAACTCTCGTCGATCTATCCACGGATCTAAGAGTTCCCTTGAAAGTTTAAATCAGAAATATAGGAATGAAGATTACAATTTTAATGAAAATGAAATCAATTGTAACCTGGAAATAGATGAAGAACAAGATAAAAACCCAAAAAATGATGTTTGTAATGATCGAGAAAAGGATTCCTACAAAGCCTTGATTAGGGACCAGAAGCATTATGAATCCTTAGTAAATAATCGTATAATTAGCGAGCGCAATGAGGGTCTTAAAAACTATGCGGACACGTTTCCAACAGACCCTATTATTCAAAGACAATGGGTTAAAAAGATATTTGATGCTATACTCAATCTCGACGGTATAATTGACAAGGAGACGAAATACCAAAACAGTTTATCCCAAGCAGCTCGGAGGGTACGAGATGGGTATTATCCAATAATTGAAATAGAAAAAACCGCTTGGAAACTAATGGTAAGAAGTTAAAATCTTTTATACGAATAAATAATCAGGCGCTAAAAAACTCGAAAGTTGAATGCTCGCGACTCACAGCTTGGTGTACGGTTAATCGAGAAATATCATGGTATTAAGACAGAGGAGCCACTCCTTAACGGTGTTGGTATTTTTGAAACATGGGCCGATCGTATGCAAGCAATTATAAATACCTTGCGTGTGAATAGTTTTATCTCGCTGACTTAAAAATTACACTGATTTATCTCTTAGGTTTCGAAGGCAGCATGTAAACAACTAATGGACCCTCATTATATTGATCGGATTGTTGAGTGTCCTAATTCCGAACGGCAGGTCTGTGATGCCTTTCCACACAAGCTTAATGTTCATAACTTTTAGATGAAAAAAAATAACAAGCGCATAAATACAGAACGAGATATCCAAAATCAACTTGGAAGAAAGTTACTTGATCTTAAATATATACCGGCAATAGATATCGAAAAAGAAGCTAAAAAGCTGCAAATAATTAAGGAAGCGCATCGCTCAATCACACCTATAAAAGCACCCCGAGTTGTGGAGCCTCGTCAAATTGAATACTTTCCTACAACTCCAACTACAAAGCCTTCAGACATATCTAATAATGTCCCCATATTGGCTATTAGTCAGAGAAAAAGTCAGATATCTAGGACCAAAAATAATCCACACAATAACTTGCCCAATATTGAAAGAGAGGTGCAAAATTCTAAGTTTGCTCGTAGTGACAAGAAAAAACAACTAGATGAATTTATTAATATTCAACCTCCCACAAAGCGTCCAAGGCAAAATAGAATTTGTACAAACTCTAAGATATTCAATAGAACCCTTGAAGAAGACTCAAATGTTGATAATGAATTTCCGTCCTATACCGGAATGTATGTTCCTAGCTTAAATACCGAGCTAGTCTCAACAAATAATAATTCCTTTATGGACGAGCCCTCTGGATTTAATCAGCTAAACCAAAATAGCAACAGATTCGAAATGGGTCACGTTGTAACTACTTTTGAGCTCGGGCCCGAAATTGAATTATTCTCGGATAACCAAGTCATGGCATCTTGTTTCCAGCAAGACCCTCTCAATGAATGTTCTCATCAGTCACCACACCAGGCGAGTATATTTGAACCAAAATTTGTCAAGCTCTACTCTGAAATAATCTGCAATCTACTGGCAATTAATATTGAAAACGCATCTAATTGCACACTCGAGGATCTCAGATTATATGCACATGCTTACAATTCAAAATTTATCGCGTGTCGTTGGTCTCATCCTAACTTAGGTGCAAATATAGCAAAAGGCTGCTATATTTACGACCAGTGCAATAGACAGAGATATCACTTTATCCATTTCTTTCCCAGTCTAACAGGTATAGCTCTAGCACGTGGAGATATAGATTGCAATTTTAATGCTGTTGCTGGAGCTAATTACTCTCACCTCTTCAATACTCGTGGTGATAAACTGATAGATGAGGCTCTAGGCCTGATTCAAAACCCTTGTGGCTTTTCGCCTATATTTTCTACATCTATCAAGAAGATGAGTTAGTGGGTTAATGGGATAAGGCATTAATAAGAATATAAAATCTAAATTTGGATGTAAAAATCGTATTTCTAGGTGTTAAAGCTTGATCTATAAAGCCAAAAAATATAGTACAACTACAATTCATCTATATTCTGCTGGTTGGTTGTTATATTTATTTTTTTCTCTTTTTTCTATTCGATAGTCGGTGCTTGGAGTGAGACGTTCTATAGTCGCTAGTGTTGTGCGAAATTGTTGGTAACTATTGCGTGAAAGCTAAAGGGCGTGAGTGGTCTGCTCTTCTCGTGTTGTATCTTTAGCCTATGTGAGTCGTACAGCCTTATTGTTCACAGGAGTCATATCTCAATTAAATAAGTCTGAATTGATGAAGTCTAACCAGTGTCACTGGACAAGATATAAACAAGACTGGTATGATAGTAAATGGACATGATACAGAAATCTAACGCAATATCGCAGGATTCACCTGACGTGAACCAGGACTACTACATAGGTTTCTTCAGGCTCACTCGATGCAAGTGTCAATATTAACACCAGCCCACTATATTCCTAGACGAATGTGTTACTATGATAACTAGGTATCTTAGCATTTTTAAGGTGTGACGGAAACCGAGTTGGTGTTGAATAAATCGATTTATTAAACTCAATGAGGAGAGAAGAGAACTCAAGCTACAACTAACAGGTACTTATAATAACTGTTACGCTGCGTGTATCTACTAACTGGTGGCTTTCCTCCAGACATCATACTCGCTAACTAGCCACGTATCGTTGGGTGTTAGTTGTAACAGCGATCAAGCGTCCTGATTAGTATTATCGTTTCGTTTCGTCTTGTTCCATCTTCGCCTCCCCGTGCGACCTTATTGTAAACAATCTTAGTATAACGCTTAGGTATCCACCTAAGCTCATACAACGGTCAAACCGTGACATGAGGCATGCATTCACCCTTTCATGAAGAGTAGTGATAGAAATCTTAATAATTAGTCTCTTTCATGTAGATTTTAGAAGTCTTCCATTCCAATGTAATCTGTGCATTTATTTATTTTATTTATAATATGCAACGTCGTGCCCGCGTACAGCACGTGGGCTCCTCACGTGCCGGTTAGCCCAGTCTAAATTAAACTACCCGACGTGTTGGCGCCCACACAGACCCAACAAAGCAAACAATAGCTAGGATTTTATCATCCTACGCTCGAAGATTATAGTGTACATGAAGGTCGTCCGTCCAACGAATCTCATGCTATGCAGTTGGTACTAAATCAAGAAAAGATTTTACAAAACAAAATAAAAAATAAAAGGAGAAGATTGTTTACATCAGATCGTGATTTCGTTCGAATCAGACTGTTCGTTGTGCCCTTTTGAAGAGTCTGTGACACGCACCCAATTATTGAATGCATCAACTCCCTCCGCCGAAGCAAGTGCCCAGGATACGCTGGGATTAGAGTTCTGTGCCCTGTGGAGCTGAGCTTGGTATTGCCCGAGTTTCATGGATAAACGTGGCGGAAACTAGGATGGTGTCTCATGGGGAGTTCCATTCTAAAACACAACTCGGGGTTATCAAGTTCTCAAACAATTAGGACAGGCTCAGGAACATAGGGTCGTTTCATAGGGACTGCGTAGTAATAATGTTCGAGACAGAGCTTAGGGCTGTCCTATTATCTGATGTACATATATACCCAGCGTGAGGGAGTATTCTTCTTCACGCAACGTCTTCTGTTTATACTCATACCTATTGTTCACTTACTTATCTCTTCTCTAAAGAAGACCGCCGTTATTGTACCCTTCTCACCTACTACTTATTTTACCTTTACTTCTTACGTGAACCCTATACCTAACGCTGAATTTATACCTCCTACTCTTAGGAATCACCACCATACTCCACACCTGTAACCTACTTGTACCAAATTCGTACCCTACGGAATACTAATAACACGGCTCCTTGAGACCGAGGTGGCGATAGAAAAAGTGGTTAGGGGACTTCTATTCTCGGCATGTGCAGGTTAGAATGGCGTTTTCATGCTGAAACCGTCGGTGGTAGTCTGCGAAGTCGCCATGACCGGACCTTGAAGCTAGTAGATATCCTAATGCACGTCGCCTTAGGCGGGCGAGCTCAACGGTGATTTTGGTATTAGGGCCAATTCCTAGTTCTTTGTATCTAGAAGGGGCAATTTCTGCCCAATATAGTGCGACTGAAGCCTCGTATTGGACTTTGACTTCTCTCCTTGCCCTCGCAATGGAGAGTTCTAAGTGTGGAGCTAGAGCTGCACAGGCAGCTTTGGCAAGCGCGTCAGCTGCTTCGTTCCCGAGAATACCTGCGTGGCCTGGGCACCATCGGATAGCCACTTTCCCAGGCGTCGTATTTTGACCGCGTGATCTTCTTTTCCAGTTCATTGCGAGTTTGCGAAAGATTAATATCTTCGCCGAGCTGGACGCTGTGGGCGTATCCAAGAGCAGACGGATGTCAGCCTCCTGGTTGTCAAGGCAGACAGTGACGTTTGAGGCATAATAGGCCAGTGGGTTGCGAAGAGCTGCGGCAAGATCTTCAGTGGCCCCGGCAATTTCTGCATCGTACATTTCTGCCGAGTATCCGAGCGGGAGTTATCCTCGTCCAATCTCCTGCGTAAGAACTCGGTAGATGACATAGCCCGCACCTGCTCGGTCGTCTATTAGAGCTCCATCTGAAAATACGAATAAGTCTAGAATGGGTCGAGCAGCCTGCCACTGTTTGAAGGAATTTGATTCCAAGAGTCTACTGTTGTGCTGGTGATGGCTAGGATTGCGATGTACAAGGGCAATGATCACTGAGGGTGAAGGAAGAACTTTCCAGGTGGCTCCATGATTAGTAGAGGAACAATGGAGCACTGTATAGAAAGTGTTTCTAGATTGTACCACCAGATGGAGGAGACTAGAATATTCCGTGGTACTGTTTTGGGTAAATGAGGCGAGAGTCAAGCCACCTCAGATGTGTAAATAATTAGCGCTTTAAACCTCCTAAATCCTCATAGTTCTGAATATCAAAAATATCAGCAGTTCATATTGATTCATCGATAATCATCCGTAAACCTTCTGCCAATTAACCTCCGTAAGCTCTTACTTTTACAACATCTACCTACTGCCCCAATTTCGATTAGCTTTTCCTCACGGGGTGCCAACTATGGTGAGGGGATGGTATCTGTGGAAAGTTCTAGTGAAATCCTCTGGCGGATCCAGCGCATGCGGCTAGTGTTCCAACGCCTACGAAGAGGGTGGTAGGGGTCAGCTGCAGCAATTCGAACCGCTAGACGGCTGTGAATTCTGTTAAGCCAAGTCTGAGCTGGGCCCTAGCCAGCTTCACGTAGAAGTGCTACTATTGGTGTGGTACGGTAGACTGGGAGAGCTGCCCATGTCGCGTCGTTCATCCTATGTTGGACTTGCAAGATAGTTTTTTGGGAAGTCTGTTTAGAGTACCAGGTCTCAGCCCCGTAGAAAAGGGTCGCAAAGGCAGCATCTTGAAGAGCTTGTCTTAGAAAGAGAGGGCTTGTCAGGCGCAGGTTCACTAGGCGCAGGACTCGAGGCGTAGGAGAGGGCGTAGCGTAGGATGTACTGAGGAAGGACGCCTCGTGGTAACGCGGAGGGCTTTCTAGAGAAGTGGTAAAAGGGAAAGCGGGGAGTCGTTCTAGATAGAGGGGCCGGAGGTGACAGTAGGTTACTATGTTTGGCAGAGGACGAGAGTGAGATGTGATTAGAATAATGTAACTATTCCTAAAGACAGAAAACAAAGCGTGAAGATATCAGTCTCGGAAATGGAAACTACATAACTATCCTCACTAGGCAATAAAGACTAGTGGGATTAAACAAGGAACCCATAAATCCTGCCTGAGGCATTTCTCATGAATTCTTACAGGGCTTATTCCTGGAGTGGTTGTGGACAGTCTTTTCATATGGCTCGTGATAGCTAGAGACTTCCGGCAAGCCTGTATAGTATGATATTGGAACCGAAGAGCACGGTCAAAAAATATTCCAAGCCGGCGAGTGTGGTCATTGGGCATTATTGTTGTCCCTCCAATACTAAGAGTAGGCTCGAGTGGTGAGCCTCGCTTCCGGTGAAAGTATTGCAGCTCAGTCTTAGGAAGTTCGAAACTAATTCCGTTAGTCAGACCTTATGCTATAGTGCTATCTAGTTTCTCCTGGATTTTACGTGCATATTCTTCTAAGGAGGACGCAGACGCGAAAAGGGCAATGCCATCTGCATAGCCAAAGCGGCCAGTGGAAAGACGTCGTGCCTCTTCCATAGCCAGAAGAAATAGAATTGGCGATACTGATGAGCCCTGTGGGAGACCACAGTGAGTTTGAAATGGCGGGGAGGTAGTATCTTCAATAGAGATGATGGATTCTCGCTGCTCCATGAATGATGCTACCCAGCGAACCACGTTTGATGGCTATCCTTGATTTCGAAGGCTGTAGCAGAGCCGTCCTTTTTGGATACCATCAAACGCCCCTTGGACATCGACAGTCACTATATCTGCTACTTTCTTTTCCGCCTATTTAGTCTGAATATCACAAGCGAGAACTGTGGTAAGGTCAGAAGCAGAGCGAAGAGGAATGGCACTGCATTGGTCTTTGGCGGGTACCCGATATTTCAGAGCTATGTATAAAAGTCGCCGTGCTATCAGTCTCTCGAAGCCTTTACCAAGGCACGAAAGTAGAGAGATCGGTCTGTAAGACTTCGGGAGGGTGGGATCTCGGTTTCCTAATTTCGGAAGAATAATCACTGTAGACTTCTTGAAGGCTATTGGGTGTATTCCTAGCTTCTCGCACTGGCCGAAGAGAGCTGACACCCTGTTACCAATTATTGGCCATGCTCGATGGAGAGAATTCGGGGTTATTTCGTCGGATCCTGGGGTTTTTATTCGACTTTAGTTATCTAAATATTCAGACATATAATGAATATGGTCTGTTTGTCGATTATGATGTGGCTGCGATTGCAGTTGGATGTAAATAATGTAAAGGTCTTTATCAAGTATCTTTAATAT